TGTGTGTGTGTGTGTGTGTGTGTGTGTGTGTGTGTACGTGGTGAAACACCAAACCAATGTGCCAGGATCTGGAAAATAAAGATGTATCTTATCTCATCTTATATCATCTCAACTACACAGGAGAGCAGCAAAGGCCATCTGCCAATAGAACACCTTGTTGCAGCGACCTGACTCAGTCACAGGTAATGACTCTGTAAATAATTCTGAGCTTCGATCTACAACGATGACAGGCTCAGTGAAACTGTCCTAGGGATCACGGCTTTAGTCAATGATAATGGCAGAGGGGGGGGGGGGGGGAATCATAACATAACCATGACAACGACCTACTTTCCCCCATTGACTGAGAAATGATCCTAGTTTTGTACGTGCAGTATTGTCCTTCCTTCACTGTATGTGACATGTGGTGCAGGAGAACACAGCACACTGTGTGTGTGAAAACAAGTCAACAGAATTAAAAACCTTGAGGAACCTCACATAGCAAACTAATCAACACACACCACAGACCCCAGCGGAACACACACAACAAAACATCAAACAACACACAACAAAACATCAAACAACACACAACAAAACATCAAACAACACATAACAAAGCATAAAACAACACACACCACTGACCCCAGCGGACGACACACAACAACACACAGCAAAACATAAAACAACACACAATATAAAAAAACACACATAACAAAACATAAAACAACACCCTTCCCCCCCCCCAGAACCGAGCGAGTGACCCGCCTCCTACCTTCCTATAGGCCTTCTTGATCTCATCGTGCGTGGCTCCCTTCTTCAGGCCCAGCAGGTCATAGAGCGAGTTCCCGGAGCGGCTGCCGAGACAAACAGAAACAAAAGGATTATTTTGTGTTACAAGGCAATCAAAGCTTAGTTTTCATAGGAAGAGTTTTACGGCACTTGCAACACAACAGGGTCATGTAAACAATCCAAGATTAGTTTTAGTAAGAGTTTTACGGCACTTGCAACACAATAAAGTCATATAAGTGCCCAAGATTAGTTTTTTAGTTTTAGTAGATTTTTTTACGGCACTCGCAACTGCATAAGGTCATATGAGCGCCAAGGGGTGGATGTCAACAGAGAAATCTATACAGGGAATCAGACTTACTCTGCTCACCTCTCTAGCTTCAACAGCACAAGGTCTGCTTCGACTATCAAGGCACCCCGGAAATAGCGGTTCACAAGAGAGTGACAAACATACAAAAGAAGTAGAGGAAAATGACGATAGTAAGGATTAGGAAAGAAAAAGCAGCAGTTCCCACTTGCAGTTCAG